ATTTGAAAGCCTAATGTCTATGCCTTCAGGTGATTTTTCCGTCTATAATTAAGTAATAATTAAATGTTGGAGGGGGGAAAGGAAGGAGGAGGTTATACGATGTGGTCTTTGAATTTTCCGACTGAAAACTACTTTCATCAATAAGATCCCCAATATAAAACTGTGTGTTTGAGGGTAAAATGACAAAAATTAGGTGTGTTTTATACTTTTTTTGTAAGCAGCATGACATTATTACTTACATGAGCGTGGTCTGTTATTTGACTTTTAAACAGATACTAAATATTCAAAAGACAGGCTCTTTACAACGCGCTTATATTATTTTGAGTGTAGGTTTCTTCATGGACCGACATCATTTAGTAAGTCATTGAAAACTAAAGAGCTATTTTGTCCTAATTTACGACTCTTTAACAGTGTAAACCCATTACCCCATTATTAATCTAACCCAAATCCTTCAGGGGTTGCAGATTAAGAAGAACTTAGCATTTAGCTAGGATGTTGGATTCAAATCGTTTGTGAATTCTAAATTTACTCAGTTTGCAATATTGTAACATGTCACCCAATCCGGTGAAACTGCATCCGCTTTACATCAGAGATGGTGGATCCTACTAGCCCTAACCTCAACAAAACCTGAGGAAATCCATTCCACAGAAATTAGTCAACTGAATGCTAGTAAATCTCAATGTTTGGAGGTAGCATAGTATCGCGAATTGATTAAATTTAGAATTCAAAAATCATTTGATTCCAAGACAATGACTGAATGCTAAAGTATTTAATTTGTAGCCTCAACGACCTGAGTTCAATTCATGGTGAAGTGATAGGTGGACACCGTTGAAGAGTCGCGTAGCAGCAAGAAATGGCTATCCAGTCCTTTTTGGTTTTCTTTGATTTTATCAACAGATGCCGGTTTATGAAGAGATCTGCACTGAAGTTAATAAAAATCCCTGCAAATCTAAAGTGTAAACATATACATATATATTTGATGACTGTATCTTATCAGGATATTTTAAAAGTTGATCAAATGAATAAGTATTTTAGTCACAGCTTATCATTCATTTACATGAGAGCTGGACAGTACTGCGGATGATCGCACTATAATGATAGCCCAGCAAGCAGTTTCACCTCTCAACTCATTTGGTAGATCATTGGACTAGATATTTGGGGGTCATTGGTTCAATTCGTGGCATGATCAAGGTGTTTGCATTTCATATTCATTCGCAATCCATTTCATCAATAAATGTCTGCCTACCTAAGTCTATCCCATATAGTTCCACTGTCAGTAGCAGTAAGCTTAATTACGACAAAAAGTACTGACAATTGTAATCATAGTTCAACATCAGGAGTTGACAAATCAGGTTATGTAGTACATAATCGCCATTCATAAGATATATAAAGCCTAGAAAAGGTGTGAGATACACGAGATTACTGTGTGAATAAATTTTTAAGACAGAAAGTAAGAAAATGTATTAATAGTGGAATCAATGTTCTCTGCCAAAAGCGTTAAAAATAATTCAGTCTGCACCAAAGATAGAACTAGACGCACTACACTAGTTACTGATCAGTGTCCAATCAAAAATATCCAATACAGTCCTACAGGAGGTCAGTCGTGAGTCCGATTAGCTCAGCGGTAACGTCTGTGACTACAGCACTGGGTGACGCTGGTTCGAATCTCAGAGGGAACATGAGTTCCTTCAAGGTTGGAGATATGTCTTGCTGATGAGCGCCAACTAGCACGAAACCTAGGTCCAAGGCTTCCTACCGATTACCTCCAACCATCTAATACCAACAGTTCACAGTGCACCATAATGGCGAGTCACCTAGCATGGTGGCCACATTGCAAGCTTGACTGATAGAATTCAGTCTGCACCGAAGATAAGACTAGACACATTACACCAATTACTGACTAGTGTTCGATCAGAAGTAATAACACTGGAAACTGTTCAGAGTGTAGATAATAGCAGAGAGAACAATAATAACAAAAGAAGGGTCAAGAAATTTAATTTTCAGAAAAGTATAAAGACTGACAAATGAATGGCTTAGGTGAAAATTAAGTATGGCTACTGTATACTATAACAATATCATTTGTAAATCGTTTTGTAATTTTTCTAAATACTCAGAAGTATCTCATAGTTGCTGAGTAATATGACCACGATGAGTTGTGTAATTTTCACTTTTATTATAACTATTCTATTATAATTTTGAAATCTGAAAGTTACGTACCAGAAAATTTAAAACACTCTAAGAACAAAGAATGTTCTTTTCAGATGATAAGATTTTCAAGGTAGGTTGATTTATGAATCGATATCAAGTGCAGAATTATTGGAAACTAGGGGAGGACTGGACAGCTATTTAATCCTTGTCTATGGTTCCCCTTTAGCACACATCCATGATTCCACTTGTGGACGAATTCAGGACACTAAGCCTACTTGGTGGGTACACAACCATCCGGTCAATCCATTTACTGTAAGAAGTTGAAGAGAGTTTATGTAAAAGTATATTCTTCTTTTCTAGCCAATATATATGCGATGTGATGTAAACTTGGCGATATAGTTAGGCATTAATTGTCTAATTAATTGCGCATTGGCCGAATTTTGATAACTTCTCAAATATCCCAACATTCCTTTGAGAAAAGCCCTATTTAACAGACACTAATTGGTAGGAATGTGTTTGTGAATTACATTTTAGATTAGTAATCAAACTCAATGCTTAATGTATTTCAGCTGAGGTAACCTGTTTCATCATATAAATGAATTCATTTATGCACATGTATTCATTAAAAACCCAGTAGTATATAAACATTTAAAAGAATTCACCATTTATTTTAAAAGTCGGAAAGATAACATATCACCCATTCATATTGTTAAATATAATTTAGATGATGCCACATGAGTATGAATGTGTCTTTCACAATTGATTTATGCTTTGAGAGGAAAGTTCTGGAACGGTTTTTCAGCAGTACTGTGAATGTAGGTGATTTTGAGAAAGAAAAACAGGAGACACTGTTAAACTGAATTCGCAGTTTGCAAATATATACAGTCCGAGGTGAAATTTCACCATGTTTTTCTATGGAAACCGAAATTATTCAGGTCACAGTGTGTCATGGGTAGTTGTATGCCACTCAGCCACTCGTACTTACTAGCCAGATCGAAATGATTTAAACACCGGACAGTCGTTTCATTTGGTTGGGGTAGAGCTCATCAGTAGTGTACATGGTTTGATCTAGCTCTGAAAGGCCGATCAGGTCAGATCACCTGATTTTTGGTTAATTGAGTATACTGTTGGTGAACTCGGCTGCAAAGGAGCGAAACGGCCGTCCGGTGTTTAATTCACTTCAGTCTGGCTAGCAAGCACTACTAGTTGGTGTGAGTGGTACACGACAACTTATCTCAGTCAGTCAGTAGTATACAGCGTAAATAAACAGTTTTATGTTTGATTTGAGGTTAAGTAGAGTGATGCTATATACTGCTGACTGACTGATGCCGCTGATATCAAACATAAGTGCTTATAAGCTGGATCGAAGTGATGTGAACAATGCACGAACGTCGCATTCATTTGGAACCGAGCTCAGCAATGATATACCTGTTTGAATTTGCAAGTGACGTGTTCGATCTTTTGTATTACTACATAGCTCAAATGCCCAGGCTGGATTGAAATTATTTGAACTGATTTGGCTTCCTCAGTTGAGTCAGATCGGATACACTGCAGCCAGATATCTGGCTGGTTTCCAGCCACTCATATGGATCAGTCAAAAGTATACAGTATCAC